AATCAGGGACTTAACTGATTTTGAGGCAGCAAGGTGTTATAAATACGCCCCACTCTAAGGTTCCCTGTCCCTCAAGATGCCGTCCTGGGTGGTGGCGTCCAGTTGTAATTACGCTCCTCGCGCCGGTATCGGCGTCCAGTGTACTAGTTTCACCTGGTATTTACGAGCCACGAGCCCTCTGACTTCACTTTGTTACAACTGTATGTGTGTATGCATGTTTTTCATGAATATTAGAAGTCTATGTAAAGCGCACAGAACAATGATTGTAACACGGATTTGCGCAATATAAATGTCACATCACCATTATTATAAGCGAACAATGTAATATTATTATTACGAGATTGGGGGGGGGTAGGAGGCAAATGTAAGAAAAGCGTGAGAAGGAGGGGGGGGAGTCCCCAAAAAGGTGTAAGATTATAATAATATTTATTTGAACAGCCCCTAACGGTGTTGACATAACTTTGACTCACTCTGTATTTTCAATATCATCTAGTACTTGTCGGGCATTTACAGACTTACAAAAAAGTTGACCTCATATCGCCTTTTAAAGAAATATGGGCGTTAACTGTACGGTAATATAGTTCTGAGTTCAACGAAAAGATTGTTAGACCACCTTGGCAGTTGTTGCTGTGACAAAATCTCCCACAATTGGAGTACATGTAAAAGAAAGCACCCGGCTCGTGATTTCAAATTTTGATAAATTTCCACTTTTCAGGATTGGACTCAGTGTTCCTATAAGCCAATCTTTCTTTGTGGGTGGTTGGCGGGTTAGATAGTAGTTTTAGTAAGGTTTTACGTCGCTCGCAAATAGATGTGTTTGTTAGATTTTGGACTAATCATCTGTCAGTGAAGAGCAGAGCAGAGGCCATGAAACTGCCATCATAGGATGGCCTGCTCTAGTTGACTACATCGCGCAAGTGTTGGAATGTGATGTCTTACCCTTATTTCCCTCCCAGTGTCATTCAAGTAGACATTTCCATTCATGGCAAATCACTTTCTCATTGGGCCAATATTATCACGAGACAATTCTTGGAAAACTATATCATATCAACGTTGGAGTGATCACCAGTGGACAGCCCGATATGAATCCTACTGGTATGTGAAATCCCATGAAACAGCAGCTGAAGAAAATTAACGTTGCTCCAAATTCAGACCCTTCGCTTGCAACCGTCTGTGACATCTGGGATGAAATGACTGATAATTGTCCAAAATTTAGCAGAGTCGATACCCTATGGGTTCGTGCACTACAATGAGCACATTTAATATTAAGTCCAAGTTTGTGTGGTAATTATGATTGCTCTGTTTTCTGTTTTGTTTTAAATTGAAACTATCGACATTAAATGTTGTTTAATGCAGAGAAACAAATTCTCCATTCATTGGATATGCAATGTATGTCCATTCTATCAATATTGATGGTCCCCAAGACACGTGCGAAGACGTTTCTGTGATTTCGCACATTTTTGCCAAGCCTGATTTTTTAAGGTCAATTTTGAGTGACCATATTATCTCTAAGGCCTAAGAAACAACCAGGCAGAGAAGCGCCGACGACGAAAGGAAAAAAGCAGAAATACAGAGATATCCACTATCTACCACTGCACAGTCACTGTACAGTGTACAGTATTGTGACTCTGTCGAAAGACACTGTTGTTCTCTTTATTGAGATGTAGAGGCCTATGGATCCCTCGAATGTCTGTAGATATCCACGTCACTGACATGAAAGCACTGCGACAGAATCTGTGTGTGCTTCAAACATAGGAAGAATTAGCCTCGAAAGAAGCTGCATGAAGACAACCTTGAGACCATCTTAAGCTAAATTGGCCGTCTGCATAGACGAAAAGAGCCATACGTTATTATCTCGAGCACTCTTAACTTAACGAACGTAATTAGTTGCAAAATTCTAATGACTCAAACTCTCCCTACGCCCTCTCTTGATAATTTGTTATTGTAGTCTCTGGACTTAATCGTCCACAGACATTCGAGGGATTCGTAGGCCTCTACATCTCAATAAAGAGAACAACAGTGTCTTTCGACCGAGTCACAATACTGTACACTGTACAGTGACTTTGCAGTGGTAGATAGTAGATATCTTATGTGCAGTGTGTAGTCCTAGCAGCTTTGACGTCATATGCACTTACAACGCACTGGGTGACCTTGATACATAACTTTAGATTGGAAATAGACAATTGAAAAACAAAGTTTGCTCAAGTTTTAAAATATGGCATCAAATCAGGTTCCCCGTGAGCCGCTTTGCATATTTTGATACGACGATTTCGAAAATGAAATCAGTTTTTAGCTGCGATAATTATTTTGAAAATTCTGCGCGCAAAGTTTAATCCCGTGCAGCGGCAAACCATCATCAATACAATCACAAGGTATTCGCTTAGCGCAGTCGCTGTTCCCCGGACAATTTTTTTCCTGTTTTTAAAAACGAGTCGCTGTTCCCCGGTGCTCCAGCTCGCAAATCCATAAGGTCATATGAGCGCCAAGGGGTGGATGTCAACAGAGAAGTCCAAAAATCAGGCTTACTCGGCTCACCTCTCTGGCCTCAACAGCACAAAATCTGCTTCGACTATCAAGGCACCCCGGAAATAGCAGTTCACAAGAGAGTGACAAACATACAAAAGAAGTAGAGGAAAATGATGATAGTAAGGATGAGGAAAGAAAATTTATGTTGTTCCGGCACAGTATGAGCATGACATTGATAAATCAGTCCATTTACAATTCTACTGTGCATAAGAACATGTTAATATCCCGCCTTTGGGAATGGTCTAAAGACACTTCAGTCAGCAGAACTGCCCTGGTGGAGAAGGTTGGCGGGTGTTCTGGTGTGGTTTGTTCCTTTTTTCCTATCAAACATCTATCCTACTTATCTATTCTCCTTTTTTCTTTTTGAATGTTACCATCTAGTAACAGCTAATTGTGTTGGAAGAGCTGTAAAACTTCTAAACAACATCCCAGCAAATAGATGTAGATACTCTATACTATAATAAAAACCTACCCAAATGAGAGTCGAACCAATGTCTTCTACGTGCGATGGCAAAGCACCTAACACTACTAACAGCTATATCACAGACGCCAGTTGCCTGATACATGTAGACAGGTAGGCCTACAACAAAGGGAGAGTTAAAAAGTAGCCTACCACAAGTGATAACCCTCTTAAGTTTTTAAATTAAGTTTTAGTAGAGGTTTCATGGCGCTCGCAACTGCATACGGTCATATCAGCACCACGGGGTGGATGTCAAAAGAGAAGTCCTTACAGAGAATCATTATCAGACTTCCTCTGCTCACCTCTCTAGCTTCAACAGCACAAAGTCTACTTCGACTACCATGATAACCCTGTAACCACTCACATACTGAACACACAAATTAAAATACATGCACATAAAAAAAACCCAGGGTAGTCTAGTTCAATTCAAAGCTTTAATTCAGTTTCACACAGAAAATTAAAATCAAAGCCAATACGAAAGAAAAAAAAGGTCAACAGGAACTACGTACAATATTTTGCACAATATGGTATTGGGAACTGGTATTCTGGTAAAGACTCTCGTTTGATTTTATTATCCTTCCAAAGGGAAAGCAGCCAAAAAAGAATTAAAAAATACATCCATCATTCAATTTCACAATCTTCAATCCATTACAATTAGGATATCTGTGAAACACAGATGAAGGAGGAGAAGAAGCAAAGCATTGCGCAGCTTTTGAGTTTAGATGTATTCATAACATCATTCATTTTATTACATTTTCTTCTTTATCTTATTTTGTAAAACACACACCCAAAAATTTTCAAAATTGAGACAAAAATTTATTGAGATTTTTTCAACAAAAATGATACATTTTGAGAGAGAAAAAAATTCAATATGGCAACTGTTTCCATAACAACAAATATACAGTTTCATGAAGACCGAAGCACTTACTGATTAGTACAAACCATAGACAAGCTGCCTGTTTAATAAGAATATGTGTAGCACTGACCCTCCTCCCTCCTTGATTATTTTTGATGGTCTAAAGACATTACATACTACTACTGAATGAGTCTCACCTTGATCCTCACGGAAAGTGACATGATGTCCTGGAAATTGGACACAATACAATTGGTTTTAAAAATTCTTCCTCACATAGGAATCAACCTCACGTTATTTCTTGAGTGTGGAGACTAAGACTAAGACTAAGACTAAGAACCCAACAGTTACATCACAGACACCAGTACCCTGGTCCCAACAGTGACAAGACAGAGAATCTGCCAAAAGAGTGAGTGCGAGTGTGCACGTGCGTTGAAGAAAGGTCTTTGCCCCAAAATGTCCAAGATAAATTTCATGTGATGAGGCCACCTTTTTGGTCCTACTTTAGGACTCTTGCGGCTTCAACAGTTTATTCACAGGACTTCCAAAAAAAAAAAAGCCCTTCTATTCCCCCCCCAAATACACTGAGTAACATTTTGTTCTTTCTGCCTAATGAACCTTCAGTTTAACACACGGCCAGTAAGCACAGGCATAACTCTATATTGGCATAAGGTGACATTTTTTTTTCTTTGAAAAATCTTTCTTCAATATATACATACAACTTGCAATTCTTGTGCTGCTATTTGTGCACCTGAGAACAATACGAGTGATCTAGCTTCACTTTGAGTGAGCAGTTTTCAGAAATCGAGAAAATAGGAACAAGAGGAATCAAATTTCCGAAATATCTTCGCAGAATGTTACATCTTTAATTGACTCAGACGTAACAGCCCTTTGCTATTGTAGAGATAAGCTCAATATTAACCAACAGCCAAGATAGAACCACTCTTAGTCAATACATGTACAGGAACTCTTACTGGTACATTTTCCGGAAAAACAACCGACCTGCTCTTATTATGCAAGATGTAATAGGAATCACATGTCAAAAGTCGGTGTTGAATAACAAATATAACAGCGGAGGGACCAAAAAATAAATATGTTTGACTGAAGGGATTTGGGCACTCATGAAAGTACCAAGATTTTTCACTCATGATTTGTGACACCATAGATGATTCCTAATTGATTGATTGATTGAATGAAGGTGCTGTGCACCCTCATCAACACAATTTTGACCTTTAGTTTTAGTTTTTTTTAGTAGAGGTTTTCCGGTGCTCGCAACTGCATAAGGAAATTCGGTCTTGTATAAGACTGCTTCAACCCTGTCTGTCACAACCAGCCCCAGCTGAGAGGAACACAAGATCCTACCAGATAGATGGGGACAATCAATAAAAAGAAAAAGCTTCTTTACAACTACAAGGGAATCGATCTCCATGTCTCCTGTGAGCGAGGGCAAAGATTGTGGTGTAACCACTCGACCACAGATGTCAGTGAGATGGTATCGTTGAGCATTGCAAACATCATAAGAAACGGTACTGCCACTAAACTATGTTAGCAGATATTTATGTGAAAGTGAAACAATAAAACTGTATCAGACAAAAGCGTTTTGGGCTTTTTTTTTGGCAAGACAACAACGTTGGAATCCACTCAACCCTTTCCTGTTAAAAATAGACAAAACTAGCTGTAGGATAAAAAAAAAAACAAAAAAAAAACCCAGGGTTGGCGCTCAATCAAGCAGAAACCCGCCAGCAATGCCTGTTATTTTGTTATTTTTTTACTCTCCGTCTTAAACATGGTTTCAAAAACGGCAAGCTTGGCTATAATAAAAACCAGACCGCTGACATTGTTCTGCAGTCTTGTAGTTCAGCTCCAGTGAGGTCACAACAGTCAGGCACCATGGTGATATCAGTCGCTTGTCAAAATAATGAAATCGAAGGAAACCCAAATTTTTTTCCGCCCATTGAGCAATTAAAAGATATTTCTTATTTTGGGCTCAACGCCTTTTATTTCCATTTAAAAACCTTAATTAAAGGCACAAAAGATTTAATTTGCAATGTCTAAGTCTAAGCACACTACAGCTTTGGAAGTTACCAAACGTTGTCCTCCATTTTCTCACTTATTTTACCTAGACTCGTGACTTCAGGTGACCCCCATCTCATTCAATCACAAATTTCTCAACTTCTGTTCAAGATAGACGAGTATTTCTTTCCTCAAAAGTCAGGAAAATGAAAAGACTTTTATGATTATACCAATAACTACATTGGTCCAAAAACGGACGAGTGCCTAATTCCACACACCCTGACAATTTACTTTTACTTCCATCAAAGCCCCAGAAGTGTGAACACACCCACTGAAAGGCAAACAGAAGGACAAATAGGCGGCCACTGTAGGCCTAGAATGTGCACAGGAAAGGGTTAACGTAATCCCAAAGTGAATTCTGGTAGCTGCAATGATGAGCTTGGTGAAACATTTGATCGGAACATACACTAAAAACTGTTGTAGTCTACGAGCAGTTAGCATTGTTTAAACAGTAAATACGACTGCCCCCCCCCCCCACACAAAAAAAATCATCTGTACAAGTAGGCCTACAAAGAATTTCACATCATTTCTCTTCCAATTTGTTCTCTACACTTTATCTATACCAGAGTGAGGATGGGGTAATGATGAGGTAGTCTCCCTAAAATTGTTCTTTGATTGAAGTCTCCCTAGGCTGAGGCAAAGAGATTAAACAGTACTAGAGCTTGTGGCAGTGACATCACCCACAAAAACTAACACTGAGATGCTGAGCATTGAGGGTAAGAACAATAGACGGGCGAGTACTTTTCGAGACACACAAGGAGACCTCCAGATGGTCTCGGCAGTCTTGAGAGGAAATCTACAAGCTTGCACTGAAATGACGGGGGCACTCCAGAGTTAAATATACTAGAGCTCATGGGGAGCTGGGTGAAGGCTCAGATTGTTCCAATCTGTCATGCCGCCGAGAGCAAGATGCCCACTGCCCCACGTCTGACACATGTGACTTCACTGCCATGAGCTCTAGTACTCTTTATAATCTCTATGGGTTGAACTGATGACGGTCTTATTCCCATCCAATTTTTCTTTGTACTAGTATGTAGACTTCAGTGATGATGGATTAGGTTAGATCCCCTCCAGCTGCTCTTTGAACTTGATGATAATGTGTGTACAGACCCGAGCGGTGGAAGCATGACTTTGCTTTGTCATACAATTCCATTACTCTTTCTGCACTTATCAATGTTCATCAATCACACCAGATTTAAATAAGAACTTCATGAGAGATAATGGGTAAATGATAAGCTGGTTCCCTTACAACTGTTCTTTGCTGCCCTCCATCAGCACGAGCGACCATGTGTTAATTTCTTTTTAAACGCATTGTTAACTCCCATAAGACCTAAGCAATAAAATAATACCAGTTTGTTCGCACTCATCAATTTTCAGCAATGACACCAGATTTAAATTAGTACGTGCTTCAAAACTGCAGCTACTTTATTACATACAGCAAGGACTGTTTACACATTAAAAAAAATGTTTTTAATGCAACAACTTCCCTCCGTTCTTTGTACATTGTCAAGATAGATGTGCCAAGTGATGAGTTAATTCCCTTCCCCTTGTTCTAAACAATCCATCTAGACCTAAGTAATGATGGGTTACTGGTGAGTTAGTCCTTTAAAATTAATCTTTGAACTCTATACATAGGTGACACGGGTTTGATTCCCTTCCAAATGTGCATTACACTTTATCTAGATATATAAGAAAGTCAAAAAAATGCACAAAAGCATTATAAAAAAAAACATGTGGAACGGAAAATTCAATAAATGCAACAGCTTCAACAGTAATAATCAATATTCTTAGAAAAAAACACATTTCTCTTTAACATGCACATCATGCTATTTTGACAACCAGTATTATACACAAAACACATGTCATCATAATAATAATAGTTCAAAAATTCAAGACGGCAATCTGGTTCAAGCAGAAAAAAAAAACCACAATTCTATGGAAGCATTTATGATATTTCTCCTGCACGCACATTAACAACGAATCAACAACCAAACATTAGATCTCAATAGTTATTTACAACTGCAAACAAAACACTTGTGCACACATACCAGCAACTGATGATGATGACTTGCACTGACAGACCTACTTTTACACACAAACCACACACACAGAGCAACCTCGACACATCTATCCACACAGAAATGCACACCACACAGACTGGGCAAGGCTAATTAGATGATCAAGTATTGCATGAAACCCCCTCACATACCCAATATCTTCAAGTGGCAGATTCTGAGAAATGTCATCTGCAAAGTTTTGTTTGTTTTAAATTCTGGTCCTTTCCTCGTCAACTATCTGTCCAAGTTCTTTGAGTAAGTTATTGTTGGTCTATCCCTTCCTTTTTTGCCATTGATTTTTCCAGTGAGAGTAAGATTTATTTTCAAGGCCTTTATATCAATTTGAACACCCACAGAACTTCAAGACAGGCAAGAGGTGGTGAGAAAATTTCAGCAAAAACACAACACAAAAAGAAGATCAATCTCTATATGAACAGCTTTCCAATAAAGGTAAAAATCTCGGACAAAGAAAGTTTGCACCTGACAGCTTACTATGTCACTGTGATCCACATGCAGTAAAAAAAAACAAAAAACCAGTTTAAATCCCCCACCAATGAATATTAGATCATTCAGGACACCGCAGCTTCGAACCTTCCACTTAGAACCAATGCACACTGAGTGGGACATATTAATCCCAGCATTCATGCCAAGATGCTTGATATTAAAAAAAAAAGTCCCCACACTCGCTTCAAACTTGTGTCATTTGCATGCGACGACAAAGCTGTAACACTACACCATATGCTTATCAAAGAAAAAAAAGTCGAGTACAATAAAGAAGAAAAAAAGCCAAGAGACCAGACCATTATTTACCACCAGCCAGAAGGTTCCTCACAACGTAGACAATGCAATCAACAGAACTGAAATGCTTTATTCATTTAGAATAACCCAATATCTCAGATTAGACACTGCTCCCTAAAGAGGACCAATACCTTAGTCTTGCAAAATTGCTAACCAAAGGGAAAAAAAAAAGAAGAAAAAAAAATTCACTTCCTTTTGGCCACATATATATATATTATAAATAAATAGGAGTAGAGATCACTCATGTGAACCACAGTATGTGGGTGACCCATTGACATAATCAACTTATTTTTCACAGCTCGAAAAATTCTAAATCTCACCCCATCCCATTCAGTCTTCAGATTTACACAAACCACTGGTTTAAGCTCACACACTCCTTTTTTTTTAAGGAGCTCTCTCATAGAAGGCAATTAACTCCCTTGTATTTCGATGCATGATACATTTGGTTGCAGGGAAGCAAAATAGTCCAGTAGGGAAAGAGTTAAACCTCACACAAGCAAAATTACTCCAACTATCCACTATAATATAAATTAGAGATGAGATCATCTGTCTTAATAACATTTCAGGACCTGTTAGGGACAGGTTATCCATCAAACCAAAACAGATCCACAGAAACTGGAACACTTCTTAAAAGTTATACAGTTGTAGGTACACAATGATAAGGGACGCAGGTTGTAAGTAAACTTTAACTCCCCACTGTCTTCACGCATAGTATGAGAGTGTGCCGTTTCCTGCTTCTGTGAGAGGCAGTTACAATCCCACTGTGACTGCGGACTTTGCATCATATGTCCGACATCAAACTGTTCAAAATCAGGACAGGGGTGAAGGGTTATATTTTACTTTTACCCAGGCGCAGCATGACCTCCCATGCTCAAGCCCAGTGTCACTCCATTGCACGGAAAAAGGTCTTGACTTATCAACGTTCTGACAATGGCACAAAACTTATGTCAACAAAATGTTCAAAAGATTCATGGCAACACATTTTAAAGAAAATAACCATCTAGATAAAAAACAACCTCCAAAAAAACACCAAAAAAAAACACACAAAAAGAACAGAAAAACGAAAGACATCCCCACTCAAAGGCCTACATGTGCTCATCTAATGATTATACTGAAAGAATTGAAATCGTGAGCTCTTACGAGATAATGGATTAGAAAAAAAAAAGAGTCCTAAGTAACAACTTTAAACAACTCCAAGAGGAAAAAGCAAAAACCAAACATCTCAATCTGTTTTTCAGCATATATTGTAACTGAAAATTTAAAAAACTCCAAAAATTTCCACAAGTTTTCCAACATGGTACACTATATTGCTACCCAATTTTTTTAGACCCAGGTAGATGTCTACATGATAAGGGTTCAAATACTCAACAAAAACAAACCAACAAGCCCAACCCTGTAGATCTACATCTTAGCAAAATATTATATAAAGATACAACAAGTCAACACACACACACACACACACTTTCAATCAACATACAAAATTGCAGTGAAATGGTTTAAGGTTCAACAACACACAACATCCCTGGAGACAGTTTTTTTCTCACGCCCGTCATTACCCCCTCATGTCAGCGTTGTCGTTGTCGCTGCCGCCGGCTAACAGATTTCAACCCACCTGACTAGCTGCTTGTTCACCAGGGCTCGGTTGATCATCACAGGCTGAAAGATAAGCAAGCGGCAGCGTGAACATTTCATCCAAAACGCAACAAAAAAAGGAAGTAATTTCTACATGAACAGCTTTCCAATGAAGATAAAAATCTTAAGACGTAGAAGGTTTGCACCTGAGAGCTTTCCATGTCACTGTAGTCCACATGCATAAAAAGAATATAATATACTATTTTGAACAAACATCAATGAATTTTCGATCATTCAGGAGACTGGCAGCTTTGACCCTCCCCGTCAGAACACATCTCAATCCACCTGACAAGCTGCTTGTTCACCAGGGCGCGGTTGATCATCACAGGCTGAAAGTGCAATAGTTTGAGTTTGAGTAAAGAGAAGCACAGAGACACAACAACAATCGTACAGTGCTGGGAAGAAGGCAAGACAGAGAAAGACAGAAACAACAGAAAGAACTAAATGAAATGGGACCTACCAGAGACGCCCTCCAACCACCTCGATGAAAGTACAAAATAGAAAAAGTGAACAAAGAAGTACACAAACCTGTAAAAAAAATAGAGTACACAAAACTTGGGATTTTCTTTGTTTGTTTGAGTACAGAGAGGCACACCCACATGAAAACAGGCATTTAGTATTGCAGGGAAAAAGACAAAACAAAACAAAACAAAACAAAACCCCCCCAAAAAAAAACCACAGAAAAAGGGAAAATTGGAGAGTAGGTGAGTACATCTTAGGGAAAGAACGGAGTTAAAAAAAAAAAAAAATAATGTAAAGAACAAAGTACACAATAGCTGTGACAGAGAAAAACAAAACTTTGTACAGTACTCACAATGGTCATGCAGTGCTAGGAAAAAGCAAGATATACAAAGAGAAACATCAGGGGATAGATAGTATAGAAGCAAGAACTACCAGCACTGCCCTCTAACCATCTGCAGTGTTTAGATGACCGGGGGGGGGGGGGGGGGGGAACATCGCAACTGTACCAGAACACTACAATCCCGATTCTTGTGAATGGCTCCAAAAACACATAACTGGAAACAAACTGGAACTTTTAATGAATTATGTCAAAGTCTGATGGCTGGATGTTTGTGCTGCGTGTATACGAGTGCACATATGAATTTGAGGGTGTGTGTGTGTGCGCGCACAATATGCGTGTGTACGTGAGCTCGCTTGTAAGTGCATGTGCCTGGGTGTGCACGAGTGTGTTTTTAACATAAACATTTTTTATCTGTGTCTATTTCATAGGGATGTACATACTGTATACTCGTGTTAATGTGTACTTGGTTCATGTTTTAATGTATACTTGTTTATGTGTGTAACGTACAGAGTTGTTCACCACATCTGTCTGATAAAGGAGTATGTGTGGTATTCCCACGAACTCTTATATGACTGTATCTAGTTGAGAATGTCGTAAAACTCTTTCTAAACCAACTGATATTCTAGTCTGTATGAACCACCAACCTGGATCGATAACAACATGAACCACCAACTGAAACTGCATCGTGTGTGTGTGTGAGTGCGTGTGTGTGTCTGAGTGTGTGTGAATGGCAATGAAAATTCAATTTTTCGCTTTAGCCCTTTTTTATATGGCACTAAGAAAGAATTTTCAATTCTTAGAATTATTTTTCGAATGTTAAGAATCTGTTAATAAATAAAAAGTTATGGGGTTGTAAAGGTCGGCAAAATATGGATGACCCACATGTAGGGAAATACTCCAAAAAGTAGACCACGCAAAGGCATATTCTGTAAGAAAATCAACGATATTTCAGCAATTTATTCGAGCTTTCGAAAGAAACTCGGCTACCCAATGAGTTTTTTGGAAGCAGAAATCATTTCTAACAATTTCGTAGGTATTTTGTGATGATTAAAATTTTGGTGTTCATATACTGAGTTGCAAAAGTTCTGTCACACCCTTTATATCACAATAATTTTAGGCACAGTGTAAAAATTGCAGAAAAAATTAAAAGTATGACTTGTGTGACTTATGAGACTCCTTGTGCAAAAGCAGACGAAAGAACTCATAAACCGGAAGTAGTACGTGGACAAAGTGTTGGTATAGATTTCTCTCGGTCTGTGTTGAAATCAACGCTTCCTACACACAACATTTGCTTTGAATCAAGTAGACAATGAGTAAACACACCTTACACACTATAAAATTCAGTACTTTTCAACGGTTAGGCAGAATTTTCACCTGTTTTCAAAATAATAAAAAAACAATATATTCTGAAAACAAAAGGGGCTGTGTGTATAAATTCTTTAATTGCGCTTTCTGCTGTTGCAAGACACGTAAATGTGTGCAGAAGAACCATCGAACGCTTGAACAAATGTTTTAACACCACTAGAACTGTCCAAGACAAGCCTAGACGTGGCCAACCAAGGGCACAACTCAATTCAAGTAATTCAAGCTGGAAGAGGCCACACGCCATACTGAACAAACTTTGATTTGGATTTTGCAAGGGTCAGTGGGAATAAAATTATCTCCCTTGAATAAAGAAAGACATTTGCCAATTCTTTTCACGTTATGTTGGCAGAAAATGAATAAAGATCCCATGTACCAAATTTCTCTCAGCTATGTTGAATAGTAAATGAGTTATTGTACTTTTAAGGTGGGTGTGACAGAACTTTTGCCACTCGGTATATTCCAATTTTGCGAAAAAGGGGTGTCGGAATGATAGCATTTTATTTATAGTATCGTATCACAACAGGGGATTTTAAAGAATATGTCGGCAGCCTGACTAAATAAAATAATGGCAAAGCTTTCTTTAATGACCTTAGACCATGCCAACCTTAAAATATAATTTAATTCAATCAAGTATGCCGTAAAAACTCTTGAGACGCGAACACCTCGAGGCGAGATAAGCTCGCGGAATACCCCCATTACGATGTTACAGAGGAACAGAGAGAAAAACAACCGAATGCGCCCGCCCGCCATTGCCCTATTTCAAGTGACCAATGATGAACGGGCCTGGACTAGTCATGCAGGGATTTGTAGGTCACATACATTTGTGAAGGAGTGAGAGGAAAATGGCCGGTCTCCATGCCAAGCCGTTTTGGACAGGGCATTTAAGATCGGATCTAAACAGCTACTCGACACAGAACGTTCAAATTTGAGGACACTATAGAGGAAAGCTAGATCTCTTACCTTCTCAACATTGAAAATCAAGCTCCTTATAGTTTTCGGTATACCAGATACGAAAGTGTTCCCAACACCAAAAGTATAGGTTAATTTATGAGTACAAACATCAACGTCCACATATCATTAGTTTGCCCTATTTTCTGATTGGTTGCCAAGCTTCATTCACATTGGTCTTGAAATAGAGCAGACCGAGGTTGAGAAATTTAGTCCCTTACGTTCCGACCCGGTCTAAAAATTCACCCGCAAACAGGGACCAAAATTTCGCCGCACACGAAAGCCCGATTGGCATTGCTAGTGTGTGTGTGTGTGTGTGTGAGTGCGTGCATGCACGTTGTGTGTAGCTGCGTGCCTGCTCGTGTGTGTAACTTACAGAGTTGTTCTCTGCATCTATCTGATAGAGGTGTACATGAGGTATTCCCGTCTCTGTGCGCGCCACCACTTGACACTGTAGCAGCTTGTACTCCGTCATCTCCCACAGTGACATTGTGGCCTCATTGCTGAAGTACTGCTCCGCTGTGGTAGGAAGGAAAAAATATTTTAATTTTTTTATAAACAAACAAAAACAAAATCAACCCACCCACCCCCCTTAAAAAAAACCCCAAAATGTGAGAAAAAAATCTTTAAAACACACAAAAATACTTAACATGGAAAAAAGTATTTTAAAAATATAAGTGAAAGAAGAAAAAAAATGTCACTAGAAGATCCCTCCTCAGACTACTTTGCTGTCAGAATGGATAAACAAAGGACAACTTCTCACTAGAACGTTTATAAAAATCAAAATCATAGCCCCGACCTCTCAAGACAATGGCACATGCCAATCATAATATTCGGACAGTATGTGGTTTTACGCAAAGGAAATTCCAAAAACAAAACTGCTTAATCTGAGAAAGTCGACTGCCTCGAGCAAGATTCCACCATATGCTATTTTGACAAGTGATGTATGCTAGTCTTAAACTGAGGAGTCGATACGCACTTGACATCATTTTGCTTTAGTGCATGGCAAAGGGACAGAAACAACAGATGAAAAGGGAAGAAATATGACTTGCTTGAGGCAACCTTCAATCACCCACAAAATTGCTTTCCTCATTACCAAAAAACTTACAGCAAACAATACCATCATACAGACACGCCACAGCGCCAAATTCTTAAGGGAAGACCCGGGTCGGAGATCCCAGACAATATCGATAAAAAAATTTTCAAACTATCTTTAGCTTTTGCAGAAAAACATCCTTTGACATCTGTTGTAAGGGGTCATAATGACGAAACTGTTGTCAAAACACCCTAAATGACCTTAATGGCGTTTGAAAAGGGCAGATTGCGCTAAAAATCCTTTGAAAATTCCCTGGGTTTTTTTTCAGTTTTTCTCAAAATCTACTATTTGACATATGTGGCCTTCTTGGTGCAAGAATTAGAAAAATTTTCCGGGAGTGTACGTCTCCCCTTAAGTAAAAGTTTTCCTGCACTTGCAACTACACAAATATATCATACAGGAGCTGAAATTCAGAGGTGTTGCGAAAAAAACAACATACAAAGAAAAGATGGAGGAAAGACATGGACGATAAATATTTGACAGGAAAGAAGGAACAGACCACAACAGAGTGCCTGCCAACCATTTTAAGCTGGACCAACACAACAGTAATGGCATCAACATACAGACACACAATAGTACCAGTATATAAACAGACACACAACTTACATTCAAGTGGTGTGATGTTGGCTACATAACATTCCACAGCCTGGAAGGGAAGGGACATGAAGTCAGTCCTGTGGAGAAGAAAACCATCACACAGATAAGATAACCGCTTGGGAGATGGGTGGGAGGATTTTTACTTTTTTAGTTTAAGCTTTCCTTGAAGTTTTAAGGCACTAGCAACACAAATAAGTCATACAAGTACCGAAGACAAAAGGCGTTACTAGAGAGAAACATACAAAGAAAAAGAGGAGGACAAATGAGGATGATAGATGATTGAGAAAGAAGGAGCAAATCATACCAGCTTACCCGCAACCCACCTACTGAAAGGATTTGGGCACCGCTGACATCTTAAGCTCACACTAGTTGGGAACAATTTTGTTGTTGCTCTCAAACAAATAAATGTTGTAAAACTAGTAGAATCACACATTTACAGGGTTGCCAATTTTTTTGAAACCCAAGTCAGGGACATCCAACTATATAACATTAGATAACGTAACAACAAACAAAATTAAATCAAGTAGGACTGGCTTTGATGAAGTGTTGGTGACAAGCCTCTCAAATTTCACATAGCTGAATCTGGGATGGTCCAGAGAAATTCAGGGCAGTTAGCATGCCTGCATTTACAATTATTGTCCTCCGTTGGAGGTGTAGGACATTTGCACAGGTGCAATAATCGTCCTCAGCGAATTAACCCAATTACCCTGAGTGGATGATGGGAGGGTTCCGTGCAACTTGCCTGGTCTTCTGGTACACATCCCAGTGTCCTGCTAGATGGCAACAAGCAGTATTACTGCGAATGCGATTTTATATGAATCCAAGTTGGTTTATTTTGACCTGGAAGTATTAGACAAACACATAAACCACTTCCTCTTTCACTTTGACAAAGTTTTAGCCATTTTATAAACATTTTTCACACACATCTCCATACCTATTTCAAGAAAACTGGAAGAAAAAAAATTCTGGGGTTTAAGAAGTAAGAAGAAACAACAGCTCTATGACCCTGACGCACCTGATCTGTTTCAGACAGGACACAGGCATCTGGGCGTAGCCGCCATAGTCGACAAACTTGACCTGGCACTCTCCGGCCTCGTCCTCCAGGCTGGTGATCATGGCCCGGTACCACGCGCCGTCGTTCTGGCATACGCAGATCACACCACCTGTACCGTACAAAGTGATCGATGGACAGTGAGGCTTAGCTTAAGTTTCGTTAAGAGTTTTACAGTTCTTGCAATGCAATTAGGTCAGGTAAATGCTGAAGATTAGAGATGTTACAAAAGAGTAAAAAAAACACAAAACAGGGGAAAGATAAGGAAAATAGATGTTTTGACAGGAAAGAGAAGGGCAAACCACACTACAGTACCCACCAACCACCCACACGTCTTTTAAGTGTCAAAGAATAAAGATATTACTAGAGAGTAGCATACAATGGAAAGAAGGAGGAGAGATAAGGACGACATAGTTTCATAGGAAAGAGGGTGCAAACCACACCAGAGCACCCGCCAACCACCCATGAGAGTGAGCACATATATGAAAAATTATGAACAGAAATTGAAAGAACAAATTTCATACTATCTGCATGAAATAAGTCATGAAATGAAGAGTAGCACCCAAAAATTACACAACGATCAACAATTACAAACAAATGGAAATTGAGCACCAACAAATCACACCATCTAAACGAACAAAAGTCACAACTTGAGAGTGGAACAACCATAGTCCATCCAAAATAAAGTTGCAAATGAAGACTAAACATTTAATACTAAATATTATCTTAACTCTTTATCTCGGGTGGGGGGGTGGGTGGGTGAGTGTGTGTGTGTGTGCGTTTGTGTGTTCCACACTACTCCAGAGCCCTCTTTGTCTTTAGTCAGGAAACCTGAGAGTGACTTTAATGTCACTAAATAGGTCATAAAAATTAAAATCAAAACAAATCAACCTATTTTGTTGATTCTTCATCTAATGAAAGGACTCCCGGTAAGACAAACCTATTTCCGGCAATCCCTGAAAGTTTATCTAATGTCGCCGTTGTCTTATAGGAATGTGACCGAGCCGCTAACCGAAGATAACCACCACAGCAGTTCAGACTGCAAGCTGAGCTGTGCCGCCGAAGCAGCTTACCGGAGATAAGTAGTCAAGCATGCTGATAAAAACGAAAACACACACAATCCCCCCCCCCATTCTAAATACAGTCGAACCTGTCCTGACGGCCACCTGTCCTAACGGCCACTTTCCATTTCCCCCCTTGCGTTTTTCCTATATAATTTAACTGTGTAAAACGGGCTCCTGTCCAACGCGGCCGCGGCCACCATATTTTAACACACAACCCCTATCACACTAAGCAATAACACCTGTCTTAGACGGCCACCTTAGTGACTCCATTACGTTTTGTCATAAATTGTGCATTGACCCCTGGCGTTGTGGGCGAGCCGTCATAATCCAATCACCTGTCGTTGTTGTTAGGTAGTCCCTCCAACGGATCATGTTGTGTAAGCCCCTCCCACTTTTGACCAATAGCTACCAATTTTCAGCTGCTGGTGAGGTAAGCGTGTGATCCCTCATAACTCATAAGACCCGCCCAGAACTCATGCACAAATCGTAAGTGAGATGAGTGGTCACTGTTTACCCAGTCTGTAACAAAGTAACAAAGGACATCAACATGAACTTGTGACAGAAGCGTCGCTCGTTCTGCGAGTGGTGGCGACCCATGTGTTTGTTTTACCATAGCACTCAGTCCTCCTTGTCTGACACATTTCGTTTTATTGTCACCCTCGCAAAAAATCAGCAACAAAATAAAAATAAACAAAATACAAACCAACAACAACAACAAAAACAACAATAATGCGGCTACTTTCGATCGGGAATGGGGTTTGTTTTTTTCATCTTGGTCAGTCCTGCCTAAGACGGCCACCTATCTTATACGGCCACTTTTCTCCTTGACAATGGGTGGCCGTCTTACACAGGTTTGACTGTATGTCACTCACACTCCACTGGGGTTGGCACGGGTGGAATGTTGGGGTCCTGGCCGTAAGCCGTGTTGAGGAAGTAGTTGAGCTTCTCCAGCGACATGAAGGATCGGTGCGTGGGCTGCTGAATGAACACATGGCCGGCGTCCACCACTGCAGACACGTACACCTCCACAGACACGCCCTCCGGCAGGCTCAGCTGGAACAGAAGAAAGTTAATGTGTAAAAGGCTTAGCTGGAACAGAAGAAAGTTCATGTGTAAAAGGCTTAGCTGGAACAGAAGAAAGTTCATGCGTAAAAGGCTTAGCTGGAACAGAAGAAAGCTCATGTGTAAAACTTTTGGGAAATATTTTGCTCGTTTGTTTAAGTTAGAATTCTACGGTATGGCAATTACAATGCCATTAGGTCATATCAGCCCAACTATTAGGCCCATGTGGAACATACAGCTCTAACTACAACGCAGAGAGGAATCGCCACAGTAAAGACCCTGGAGCAGATCACCCAAGACTTTTTTGAAGGCGCAGTAACACCAGGGGATGTTGTTGTCTTCTCTGACTCAATGTCAGTACTCCAAGCCGTCGAAGGAGGAGGAGACTACAGAGGTGACGGGAACATTCTCAGCCTTGTAAAACAGATGGGCTCTTCCTATGGCGTCCGGGTCACAATGCAGTGGGTGCCTGGCCATTCTGGAGTACCAGGGAATGAGATTGCAGACCACCTATCAAAGACTGGAGCGAGCCTGCCCTAGACAGACACAGCCGCCTCTTTACAGACCTGCAGAGAGATCATCCAAGCCAAAAGCAGAGACGAGCGGCTAAACAGATGGGCCAACGCAGAAACAGGAAGATCTCTCTTCGGGTACATGGACAACCCCAACCCCAAAGACCCTCAGAATCTTTTATGTAGAGCCGATCAGACATTGATCTTCAGAGCCTGCACAGGACACTTACACACCAACAAGCACATAAACAGAATCAACCCCATGTGGGAACCCCATTGCAGGCACTGTGACTACCACGAGGAGACCGTTGAACATCTTCTCCTTCACTGCCCAAACCTGGCAGTTCTTCGACGCAAGCTCCCACACACACCTACAGACTTACAAAGCCTGCTCTACTCTGGCGTTGACCAGAAGACAAGAACATGTGGTTAATTGAGGGAGGCATTGCGCCGCCAAGAGCAAAATGCTCGCAGCTAAAGGGATTTGAAAACAAAAAATACATCTAGTGGTGGACTGATTTTGGTACAAAATAAATGTACTCTAAAATTCCCCAATGGACCAATATGGGACAGTGCTGGGAAATTCAAGTTAGAGGGGAGTCAGTTTCTGCTAAAGTCTGCAAAAGTGCTGCTAACCTGCATCACATCTGGTACCAACACAGGGTGCTCCGAGGCTGCTGGGGTCAAGTTGACCGGCACCATGGTCAGCCGAGGGTTCTCATTAACTGGAAACTTCCGCCGGATCATGGCCAGAGCGTCGTCAACCTCTGCCTGAGTGCCTGGGAAAAAAACAGATCATGATTGTTGATGCAGATTAGCTGGGAGCTGGCTGGAACATACCAGCAATTAAATTCAATGAAAAGAGCGAGAAACAAAAACCAATTGAAATAACATGACACACGGTGTATTCTTCCAAGGCTCACTTTCCAATGAATGTAAATTGTCCTTTTCTTTCTTTCAATACTCCTCCCTCAAAAGACCAAGTCTCAGAGCTCAAACATTCCAACAGTAAATAGGAGAACAACAACAGGTAATATCTTCTGTGAAAATTTAAATCGAGTCACTGCCACTCAGGACACATTATTTCAACTCACCAACAACCTGACAAATCTGGTACTACCGTACTCAGGTGTGAAGGTATTATAGGTCCCTGAATCTCCTGTCTTCCTTCCTCTCTCCTCAAAAAAACTAACTCTTTCTCTCTGTCTTCCTCTTTTCCGGCACTCTCCCTCTCCCCACTCAGTCTCTCCCTCTACTCACCTACAACCTGACAGGTCTGGTACTCAGGTGTGAAGGGATTATAAGTTACCGAGACAACCCCCCCCCCCCCCCCCCCCCCCCCCGGCGGTGCTACTGAGTGAAATGTCTTTAGGCCATTCCCAGGGGGGGTGGGGGTGGGGGCAATTAACATGTTCTTATGCACAGTAGAATTGTAAATGGGCTGATTCATCAATGTCATGCTCATAACTGTGCCAGAACTGCAATAGGGAGCTGCTGCTTTTTCTTTCCTAATTATTACTATCGTTATTTTTCCTCTACTTTTTGTATAAGTTTGTCACACTCTTGTGAACAGGTACTTCCGGGTTGCCTTGATAGTCAAAGCAGACTGTTGAAGCTAGAGAGGTGAGCAGAGTAAGCCTGATTCCCTGTAAAGACTTTTCTGTTGATATCCACACCTTGGTGCTCATACGACCTCCCCCACTCTCCCTCTACTCACCTACAACCTGACAGATCTGGTACTCAGGTGTGAAGGGGTTATAGGTCAACGAGACGTTGGCCCCGGTCTTCTGTTTCAGGTAGTTGATATTCTTGCCCTGCTTGCCGATAAAGCGGCCACACAGCTCCGAGGGCATGTTGAAGTCAAACTGGACGGCAGCCTCGCCCGTCTGGCCGGGGGTTTCATGGTCACTGTAGCCCCGGCCACTGTCGTTGGAACCCTAATTAAGATTTTATAAAAGAATTTTTTTTTAAACAAGAAAAATCAACTTGATGGTACCTTACATAGGACCCTCCCCTGCAAAAAAAAAAAATTAAAAATTTAAATACAGAGAGCAATCAACTCATTGGAGTTTTACTACATAAACAATTTCAGTACAAATAGAAATAGCATTATTTTTTTTTTTAATTGTCAATTGAGCCCTAAATACACAAAGGTGTCATTGCAACAATGGAATTGAAAGTGAATAACTAGCACTAAATACACCCAAAAAATGTCCAATATAACTATCAATGAAGTCCTAAAAACACCAAATATCTTTAAACAAAAAGACATCAAGTGGGACATCCCCCCCACCCAAAAAAAAAGAAAAGAAAAGAAAACACAACAAAAAAACCCCACTATCTTCCAAATCTTGAACAATGTTATTGAAATGGGGTATAAAAGAAAATCAAGGTTTTCTCAAACTATTCTATCAAACCAGGATTCAAGGACTTGCAGAATAACCACTATAAATAGAACAGTAATGAACTCCTGCATTAGTCATGCATCACTGAATGTTGGGGTCAGAAACAGCAAATTGTTCAAGGACATTGACAAAATAATGGTCATTTAATTTAGTGCAGGGAAAAATTCAGATAAAAAGAAAGAAACAAAAGGAAAGTTGAGATGTAGGACCTATCAATGGCTTTCTCCAGCCACCCGTGGCATGGACATAACACATTCCTCTGGTCAAAACAAGATGGTTGACAAAATTTTAATGTTTTCACATGCAATGAATGCATCTACTTTTGCTTTTTCATCCTCTGTTGCCGTTAAGTGTCATGGGGAGATGCAGTTTTCTGTGGTAGGCCAACTCCACAGCTCTTTCAGTTGTGATATTATGTTTTCTCATGGTATCCTTGACACCCTCGATTCACCTTTTACATGACCTTCCTCTTCCTTTATAGCCTGAGTGCTTGGTGTTGTAAACTCTCGAGGCTGGCTGGTCAGGTGAATACGTAACAGGTGGCCAAACTATTTTATCCTCAGTCTTTCTATGTAATGCAGGCAGGACTCAATGCCAGTAGCTGCTCTTACTTCTTCATTTCTCTGCCTGTCTTGTCTTTTGATATTAAGGGTTTTGCAAAGACATTTAATTTCGCATGCACCGATTTAGCTTTCATGGGTTTTACTTAATGTCCAGGTCTGGCACTGGTAGCATAATGTTAGTATGACTATTGAGGTGATAAGCTGTCTCTTTGTGTCCATGGTGATATTTGGAAGGGATCTCTGTCTATGGACCCATTTTCAGAAAAAATACTGCCAAGATATTTAAACTTCTTCACCTGTTTCAGTTGTTTACTACTGAGATGGATATTCACAGGACTATGGTTTCCGCTCACATTCATAATTTCTGTTTTTGATGTGCTTATTTTCATGTTTATTTTCTCGCAGTTGTTGTTCAGTTCGGTAGTGTGATTTTAAAGAATGCATCACGAACCTAAAATGACCATATACTGATGAAAAAAGACGAGTGTTAAGACACAAATGTAGATCAAGTCTGAAAATGTTGCTGTGTATTCATTTCTCACAACATGTGTAGTGTACTAACCATTCTTGTCTGATAGTGATAGTGGTAATTTTTAAGTCAAAATGTAATTGAATACCAGGGTTAAATAATATTCCTGACAAGAAGAACTGAGCTGTGACATTTTTAAACAAATAACAAATAATGGACTGATATTGATATTACTGACATGTTTGGGTATTTATGTAAATTAGAGTCAGAGTCAAACTGCTCTCAAGTAGGAACAGATCGACTGCTTCCTGCAAAACTGTGCCATATCGATGCCCTCATGATCAGACCTCGTAAGTGACAATTTTTGCGAAAATAACTTTTTCACACCATCACATTCTACTGCTTACGGTGCACATGCCAACAGACGGTTTACATGAAAAAATTGCATTAAAATGTCCTTTATCGTAAGTAAACAAAACTCGTAAGTCCACCCCTCCCCAAACGCGGTTGTGATCAGAACCCGTAAGCGCTATCCTACCGCTTACAAGCTTTTGACTGCAGCTGAGCACTGAGATTCGAGACAGGTTATCAACGCTTATAAGTGGTCAAAGCAACCCCTATCTACCTTTTTTTGTACCTGATTCACGATGTTTTCCAGTTCCGACACGTTTTGTATCAGTCATAATCAACGAATCTTCATCTTCTGTCAAATCTGCCTCACTTCTCTGACATCTGCTTCACCACACCCATCTGGACCCCTTACGGTCAATCCTGAACCATCTGCTTTGTCTGTTTCACCAATGTGATCACCCTATAATATGTCACTCACCACCAATTGCTGAGCCTGCATTAGTTCTGAAACCCCACTTATCAAATTCATATGTTCAGTCACCCCATGTCTTACTCGAGGTCGACCCCGTATCACCTTTCTGGTCAGATTCCCTTGATCTGTCTGCTCATATGCCACCCATTGCGGAAGCAACATTGCCCTCTTATCCTGGTTCCCCACAGTATACGTCGTCCAAACCAGATCACGTGGACAGTCTGACTTTAAAAACAAATTACAATGGAAAAACGTTCCAGCAGAATGGAAGCAGAACTTCTAACGAACGGATTTATGCCAGCAAGGTCAGGCATACGTCTGAAATGATAAAAACAAACCCGTATGAGAAAAGAAAAGGTCATGTGAAGGCAAGAGAGCTGGGCTGAAGCGCAAAGAACTTTCCGAATGTAACAGAGAAAGTTCTCAATTATACCTGGCCCCTGCACTGAGAAGGAAAAGCGGCATACATTAAACGCCCAAACGGAAGAGAGCCCTGGGCATCCCTAGACATGAATGAATGTTGGATATCTTTTGGAAAAAGAACGCCAGAAACTCCGTGTTTGCAAAAGCATGTTCCTCAGGATAACAGCTGTTGGAGATTGGTGTGTTATTAGGAATATTGTAGAGGATCGAGACACTTCTGTCACCAATGAAACTGACAGTACAGAGCGTTACCCAGACACTGTCGCAAGAGACAACCCTCACTACAAGAAAGCATCAGTGCAAAAAAAATTTCTTATTGAAGATTTTGCAAAACTGTCCAAAGTAAGTTCTCATTATTGTCGAAAACAAAACAGGAAAGTTGCATACTGAGCCAATCTTCTATAGTATACGAACTTCACAGAAGTATGTAGAGCATACTACATTAGGCCATCTCGACATTTAGGGACATTTTCAATTAGCAAAATATGTCTGTTAACGCCCCAGTGCGACCTGTGTGTGGGCAATACGGGCGGAAAAATCGGTGATGAGATTTGGAATAGTTTGTATAAAGAAGAGCCACAAGCTCAAGCCGAAAAGGATAACGATAAGATACTAGCAGCAGCCAACAACGGTAGAGATCTGTGTAATCACAATGGATCTCTTGGCGCCTTGTCTACAAGCACAACTTTACAATAGATAACTTGGTGACAATGGATGTGAGATACTACGTTTGACATAAAGGGGAGGGTGAATTGTCGGCCAGTTTGCATTATGAATCATTGACTATCTTCAAACTGAAGCCAACTGTAAAACAGTGATTTATCTATTTTAGATGGTTGCTGTTACCAAAATAGAAATGCAGTTCTAAGACGCGTTAAGAGGACACCCCACGAAGTATCTTATTCATAATGTTTACGCCATTATCATGCAAATAGCCCTCTATTCAATATCACTTTTTCATTATAATTTTACTAATATTTACATGTGTTTCTGTGTCTGTTTGTGTTTGTTTATGTGTGTGTATATGCCTGTGTGTGTGTGTGTGTGTGTGTGTGTGTGTGTGTGTGTGTATGTGTGTGTGTGTGTGTATGTGTGTGTGTGTGTGTGTGTGTGTGTGTGTGTGTGTGTGTGTGTGTGTGTGACTTTGGAGATCTTTGTCTGGTGCCAAAGTTCTCCCATGTGCATGATCTTTATTCTTTCATTTGAGGTTGCTGACAAATAACTTAATCTTTTAACTTTAAATTTAAACTCCAGACGCTTTAAGAAGTGTATGTAAAATGAGCAAGTAAGAAAATGTATTACTGAACATGCACATGAAGTGTCAGAAAATTTACACGCATCATCCAGCCTCGTTATTCTGGCAAAGGGCAACCAGTCCTGACAATTCTTTTGTATCCAGTGCGTGGTGCGGTAGCCATGAGATTGCAAATGATGTTTTAATTGCAACCCGTCGGGAATCAAACCCTAACTTCCCTGATCTCACAAAGGTGTCCTGCAGGGGCGGCTCGTGGGGCTAAAAAGTGGACGTACACAATTAAGCAATCGCATGCTGAAGATAGTCTAGGGCATAGTAAATGAGACGGTGTAGAATCTATAATTTTAAGATCTTTGGGTTGGTGAGGGAGGACCTCGTATTTTTATTTTCATTCTTTTTACTTGTTGCTTTGATTTCTAGTACTAAATTTGTTTGTTAGCTAAACATCAATTTCGTTCATCCTGTATAGGAACTGAACACTCAAGTAATAACTTTCACTACTCCATGACAAAACCATTCAAAGGCACAACTCATAGGGCGGTCACGTTCACCTCCCACAGGTTCACAGTCACAGAGTCACTTAAAATAGTGGCAAGACATACAATGAACCAATCACAAATCACTTGAGCACTCCGCTGGATTGCTCTGGGGCTCACATAATATTGGCAAAGAATAGGCTAGCGTACGGTCTATCGCGTTTATTTTTAGACTGCCTACTGTGGGCTATGTTTCGGCACTGTTCGGCAGGAGCACATTTGAGATGTGCCGTCTTGTTTATATTAATGTACTGCCAAACTCGCTACGACTACGAGTGTCGTCATCGCTTGGGTTATCCCCAATCAAGCGATTTATAGGTCAGGTTACACTGTTGAATATCTTATGTTTAGCTAAAGCGTGTGGACTTTGGCATAGCATAGTAGATGTTTTACGGCGCTATAGACACAGAAATGACAGTTATTTCGCCAGTCAGGACCTTGTTTTGATATAATATTTGCTTTT